GTAGTCACTAGCCACGTATAATTGTTGAGCTCTTGAAATGTGCCTTAATTCAAATGACAAACTGAATTGTTTATTTTATTTAATTATTTTAAATAGCTACATGTGGCTTGTGACTACCGTAGTAGACAGTGCACTGTTTACATTTATGTGAGTTAAAATATGTAAAATATTTAGAAGATGGTTTGGCAGATAATTAGTGCTTATTAGTGTTTGTTGCTGTTGCTGCTGTTATTATTAATATATACTTAAAATACATTTTGGGAAAAACAAGGTATTATGGATTGAATTGTGCCCCCAGAAATGTGTGTCAACTTGGCTATACCAAGTATTATGTGACTGTCCACCATTTTGTCATCTGATGTGGCCATCCTATGTGTTGTAAATCCTAGCCTCTATGATGCTAACGAGGCAGGATTGGAGGCAGTTATGTTAATGAAGCAGGACTCAATTAGGTTGTATTTTGAGTCAATCTCTTGAGATATAAAACAGAGAAGAGAACAGAGAGACAGGGGAAACTCCTACCACCAAGAAAGCAATGCTGGAAGCAGAGCTTATCTTTTGGACCCCTGGTTCCTGCGTGGAGAAGCTCCTAGACCAAAGGAAGATTGATGACAAGGACCTTCCCCCAGAGCCAACAGACAGAGAGAGACTTCCCCTGGTGTTGGCACCCTGAATATGGACTTCTAGCTTCCTAGACTGTGAGAGAATAAAATTTTCTTTGTTAAAGCTGTCCGCTCATGGTATTTCTGTTATAGCAGCACTAGATAACTAAGACAGCAGGTTAATCACACAAATCCAGCTAGCAACGAGATGTTGTCTTAAATATTTACAAATCAAAACTGATAAGAATTAGTCAGTACCACTCATTGGGATCCATTCTGTTGAAGTCCACCTTTTTTATATATATATTTTTTCTGACTGTTGATAATTTGTCTACCCAGTGTGCCGTTTGAGATGTTTTATGACCTAAAGGTGGATTATATAATTTGTGGACTCTGTACAATGTTTATTGTCCCTTTTTCCTATATATTTTTTAATCACAATGATACTAATTTGAACTTATACTAGAAAGTTAACAGTGGAAGAAAGATGTACAGAAAAAGAAATTTTTGATTTCTAAATCTTACGTTGAATTAAGGAAACTGAACATAGGTACTTATCTCCATTGCTTATTTGATAAGAAAATGCAGTTTCATTATTTTTTTCATTCATAGATTTCCATGCATATTTATAAGACCTCACAAAATGTTTCATTTGAAAATTAAGTAACTGAAGTTGTACCTGAAGAGAAATTTAAATAAGTTATCTCAATAGCACTCTAATTTCTAGTCTCTGTTGGTTTTACCATTAATCTAAAGGTGGAGCTACCTATATGCCATAAATTTTGTCAATATTACATGAGTGAAATAGACCTGTTTAAGTTGGGTAATCATTTTTATTATCTCTTTTGTACAAAATTGCATTTCTCACATAACAGTCTTTACTGAGACTGTATCCAAATTTTAACACAATGATCTAGGGTCAGAAATTTTGGTGTCACATGAAAACAGCAATTAGAAAAAGATATTCATAGACAGTAAAACTACAATGTGGTTAGTAGGGTCCAGAAAAATAACTCAGATAAAATTTAAGATTATTTGCTACAAAGTTAATGAAAAATAATATTTTTCAGCCAGCCTTACTTTCACAAATGACACTAATATAATGGTAGTGAAACTTACACTGTGTACAACTGACCATACTTTGAGCTGAGAAACATCCCAAATGATCATGAGGTAGTCACTTCTAACTTTTCTTTTGCTCCCTCCATTCCCTTGAGAGCAGGCTAAGAAGATTGCTAATCACATTATAATTGAATCCACTCAATTGCAGAGCACATTACCGGGGTAATTTTCCTTACTATTATTATTTAGAGCAGATACTGATTGTTGCCTACCTGATAGCTATACTCCTTTCCTACTTCCTAACTATACTCCAATTTTGTTCAAGTTGTTGTTAGTTGCCGTCAGTTGGCTCGAACTCATGGCAACCTTATGTATAATAGAACAAACATTTCTCAGTCCGGCGCCATCTTCATGATTGATGGTATGTTTGAGTCGGGTGTTGTGGCTATTGTGTCAATCCATCTCTGTTAGGGTTCTCCAGAGAAACAAAACCAATTTATATTTCATATATATATGTATGTACAGAGAGAGAGAGATTTACTTTAAAGGATTGCTCACACAATTGTGGGGGCTGGCAAGTCCAAAATCTGTAGGTCAGGCAGCAGTCTGGAGACTTGCGCAGACTTGACTCCCAAAATTTGTAGGTCAGGTGACAGGAAGAGTGCAGAGTCAAGAGAGAGAACAAGGTTTGTCAGATTATTTATTTATAGTCTGGGGGCAGACTAAGGAAACTCCCTTTTCAACTGATTGATTGAATACATTAGATTGCATTATAAAAAATGATTACATTGCATTACATTACATTATGGGACAGCAACTAGTCTAATATTTGGCCAAACCACTGGGAATCATAGCCTAGCCAAGGTGTCACATAAAATTAAACACCACACCATCTCACTGAGGGTTTTTCCTCATTTTCCCTGACCCTGTACTCTACCAACAGCCCTGGTGGTGCAGTAGTTAAGAGCTGGGCTGCTAACCAAAAGGCTGACCATTGGAAACCACCAGCTGCTCCTTGGAAACCCTATGGAGCAGTTCTACACTGTCTTATAGGGTCGTTATGAGTTGGAATCAACTCTATGGCAAGGAGTTTTTTTGATTTTCTACTTTAGCAAACATGATGTCCTTTTCTAGCAATTGGTCTTTCCTGATGATATGTCCAAAGTAAACGAGTTGGAATCTCATCATCTTCACTTTTAGGGAGCATTCTGCTTGTATTTCTTCTAAGGCTAATTTGTTTATTCTTTTGGTATTCTGTGGTTGTCTTAGTCATGCAGTGCTGTTCCAACAGAAATACCACAAGTGGATGGCTTTACAAAGAGAAATTTATTCTCTCACAGTCCAGTAGGCTACAAGTCCAAATTCAGGGCATCAGCTCCAGGGGAACGCTTTTTCCATCAGCTCTGGAGGAAAATCCATGTCATCAGTCTTCCTTTGGTCTGGGAGCTTCTCTGCGCAGGAACCTCAGATCCAAAGGATGCACTCTGCTCCCAGCACTGCTTTCTTGGGGGTGTGAGGTTCCCATGTGTCTCTGCTCACTTCTGTCTTTTATATCTCAAAAGAGATTGCATTAAGACACTAATCTTGTCAACCTCATGAGTATAACCTCATCACAGTGATAGAATTTATAATACATGAGGAGATCACATATAATCTCATCATAGTGGTAGAGTTTACAACACATAAGGAAATCACCTCAGATAACACAATCATACAATACTGGGAATCATGACCTAGCCAAGGTGTTACACACATTTTTTTGGGGGACACAATTCAATCCGTGACAGTGGTATATTCAATACTCTTTGCCAACACCAAAATTCCAATGCATCAGTTCTTCTTCTGTCTTCCTTTATCGTTGTCCAACTTTCACATGCACATGAGGCAACTGAAAAGACCATGGCTTGGTCAGATGCACTTTCATCATCAAAGTGACATCTTTGCTTTTTAACATTTTAAAGAGGTCTTTTGCAGTAGAACTGTCCAATGCAATACATCATTGATTTCTTGACTGGTGCTTCCATCCATGGAGGCTGATTTTTGATCCAAGTAGAATGAAATCACTGTCAAATTCAATTTCTTCTTCATTTATCATAATGTTGTTTGTTGGTCCCGTTGTGAGGATTTTCTTCACGTTAAGGTATAATCCATACTGAAGGCTGTAGTCTTTGACCTTCATTAGTAAGTGCTTCAAGTTGTCTTCATTTTATCTACCTTAGTTTACTTAATAATGTGCTTGATAAGTTTATTCTCATCCCCAGTGAGTAATCCTGCAGGTTCTCAGCCAATCATCCCACCTCATTACCCGGAACACATTGATTTGGGGTGGGCTCCCAGGTTATACTGGCCAATAAGAGTGCTCTTGCTGGAAGTGCATGCTGGTAAAGATTTTCTTGCTGGTAAACACACACACACACACACACACACACACACACACACATATACACACACACACACACACACACACACACACACATATGCACGTACATACACACACTCAGAGGAATAAATGGACTCTTCCCTGGTTCTGAACTTTCTTGTGAACCCTGTAATGCTGCAGCTTGTGTAGTCATGATTTAACCTGGAGGAGAGCTAACCTGATAACATAGTCTGGGAATTGAAATTTGGAAACAATCAGGGTCCTTGCTGAGGTTATCGAGCTGTTATAATCACAACTTGAAGAAACTTCCTATCTCCTCATGATCTGTGAGATAACCATTACCGTATTATCTAAGCCAGTTAAGTAGAGAATTTTCAGCTTCTTGTAGCCCCAAATCTTCTTAATTCATATATTTTGGCATTGTTTTTACATCTATCTAAAGGTAAGCCTTAAGTGATAAGTGTAAGGTAAGTGCACAATAATAATGTATTACATTTTCCCCAAAATGCAGAAATAACTTTTACTTATGGCTTTGTTGATTAGGATTATTATACTTTGTCCATTCATGCTAGTTTGTATAGTAGCAAGCCGCCTTTGTGTCTAAGTCAATTCATCTTTGTTTCTAAGTGGAGTGATATAGAAAAATCATCTTAAAATATATGAAAAAATTTGGGTTATCATTTATAAAAATTACAGTAAAATCAAAAGAAAATGAGAAAGTTTGTTTTGAGTTGAACATTTTATTGAAATGTTAAGAAACACAATGAAGATAGGGTTCTGATTCTGATTTCATGACATTCAACATATTCAGCTCTTAAGACAATTTGTAAGTGTAGTAATTACACTAGCATTTTGAATCACTTCTACTTTTACTATTGTATGACTTTCCATCAGTTTTTAGAAATTGGAATATTCTATAAAGTACACATACTGGATCATATCTGATCTTGATGCTACTATCTGAGATGATTAGATATAGACTCCAGGCTTCCTGATGTTGTACCATATAATGGATTTGAGAAGGAGTATAGAGGACTCTAAAAAAGAAAAGTACATTTAAAAGGTTAGGATTTCAGGCATTAAAATAAGAATCTTTCATGACTATGAAGAATGTAGCAAGCTTCTTACAGATTTCCACTGGAGTAATAAGTAGCAAGTACTTGTCCTTCCTTCATGCACCTCCAAACCACACTGCTTGAACCGCTGACACAAGGTCTAGTCCCTGGGTATGCCGGTATTCTCTGGGCACGGGCATCACTGCCACATCCCCTACTTCTGCTGGGATGGGATTGCAGTGGCCAACACCTTAACTACCTCTTTCCCCAGCACTGGCTTCCCTAATTCTGCTGTACTGAATATAGTTAGATTAAACAAAATAAAATGATAAAACAACCAACAGCTTTAAGTTGGTAAAATTATATTATAATAGAATATATTGTTGTTGTTGTGTTCTTTGAGTCAATTCCAACACATAGTGACACTATATGACAGAGTAGAACTGCCTCATAGCATTTCCCAGGCTGTAATATTTACAGGAGCAGATTGCTGGGTCTTTTCTCCCATGGAGCTGCTGGGTGGGTTCCAACCACTGACCTTTTGGTTAGCAGTCAAGTGCTTAACGATTGTGCCACCAGGGCTCCTTCAGAATATATCAGAAAATCTAAAACGTGGGAACTTCTAGAGGTCAAGCAACTTGGTTTCGTCAACAAATAAATTACAAGGAAAAACAAGGGAAATGGAATCTAGAGATTAAAAGAGATTGGAGAGACATGTCTATCAAATTGGATGCATATACCTTATATGAATGCTGATTTTAAAAAATATATTAAAAATTACAAAATCTCCTACTTACATGTGAGACAATTGGGGTAGGTTGAACACTGACTGAATACTTGATGGCATTAAGGAATTATTTCTAAATGTTTATATGTGATACCATGGTTATACTTTTGAAAGTGCTTATCCCTTAAAGATGCAACTGAAGTTTTTATAGTAGAAATTAAATGATATTGAAGATTTGCTTAAAACGATCTGGTGGGCTGAGGGAGTAGGTGGCACTAGAGATGAAACAAGAACAGCCATGTGTTAATTGTTGAAGTTGGCTGACAGGTACATGGCGGTTCATTATACTCTTCTCTCAATTTTCATGTAAGAGTATGAGAGGCCTATTTTTCTGTTATATTTTGGGATAAAAAAAGAATTGAGACTTCAGCAGATTAGGTTTTTTGGCACTCAAGCTGAAGCTTTTTTGCCAGAAATATGAATTTTATTGTGATGAATTTTATTATCATGTCAGGGAAGACAGACTTAGTTTAATTAACACAAAGTAATTTGTTTCTGAAACAAAATAAGTAAAAATAGCAATAAAGGCCAGGAGATGTGACAGGGTTTCTTCTCCAGCCATTCTTAATAAAAGGAAAAAGGAATGTGAAAGAGCAATAATTTTTCTTCTATTAAAACAGAAAATAGAAAGAAATTGCTTCTAAGTTCTCTGGAATCATTGATTGATGCACAGTGGACAACATCTCGAAAGGCGAGTCTGATATGGATTTCCTACTGTGTGTGCCGAAAACAAAAACTAATCTCAACACTAAAGAAATCATATCCTTGGTAGAACGTAAAGGCACACAACGACTTTCTAGCAATACTTTAATTACTACAAATTTGTTAGATACTAATGTTGTAAAAAAAATACCAAATCTAAAATATCTCATTTTAATTCCTCATGTCATTTGTATCTTTCAGATATTAAAAGTGAAACTAAACTGAAAACAAAAAAGATTAAATTTTCTTTTCTTTAATAAAAATGAGAATATGTTTCTATTACATCCCCCGACTTTGTCAAAAAGATACATTACACTTGATTTCTTAAATATGTACGCATTTATTTATTATCCATTGAGTAGGGCTATATGTTTTGTTTGTTTTAAATATTTATTTTATTATTGTACTGTAGATGAAGTAGCTTCTCATTAAGCAATTAGTACATATATTGTTTTGTGATATTGGTTACCAACCCCACGACGTGTCAACATTCTCCCTTCTTGACCTTTGGTTCCCCGCCACCAGCTTTCCTGTCCCATCCTGCCTTCTAGTCCTTAGCCCAGTGCTGGTGTGCCCCTTTAGTCTTGTTTTGTTTTATGAGCCTGTCTAATCTTTGGCTGAAGGGTGAACCTCAGGACTGACTTCATTACTGATCTTAAAGGGTATCTGGGGGCCATACTCTTGGGGTTTCTCCAGTCTCTGTCAGGCCAGTAAGTCTGGTCTTTTTTTGTGAGTTAGAATTTTGTTCCACATTTTTCTCTAGTTCTGTCCAGGACCCTCTATTGTGTGTGTCGGAGCTGTTGATGGAGGTAGCCAGGCACCATCTAGTTGTGCTGGACTCAGTCTGGTGGAGGCTGAGGTAGTTGTCACCCATTACCTTTGGACTAATCTTTCCCTTGTGTCTTTGGTTTTCTTCTTTCTCCCTTGCTCCCTATGGGGTGAGGCCAGTGGAGTATCTTAGACAGCTGCTCACAAGCTTTTAAGACTCCAGATGCTACTCACCAAAGTAGAATGTAGGACATTTTCTTTATAAACTATGTTATGCCAATTGAACTAGATGTTCCCTGAGACCACGGTCCCCACAGCTGAGTAGGGCTATATTTTAATTTTTACTGTATGTCTTGATTAGATGAATCATCCAAATTAATTCTCTTTGTGCTCTGATAGATATCTTTTTTTGTTTTCATTCCTAAAAAAACTATTTACTATAAGTGTGTATCACATCATTATTGAAGAAACCAAAGAAATAAGAAAGAGTTGTGGTAGGCATAAGTCACATCACCCAAGTCTCTGAAACTACTAGAAACCATCTGATCGGACACTTTGGTTCTCATTTTCAATAACTACAGAAACATAAAAACTCTTTCAGGTTTATTTTTATTAAAAAGTAATACGGAAAAATTCAAAATTTAACTTACTATATGCTCGCTTTTACAAGATATGACTTAGATATGGTTCTAGAATCAGATATAAGAAACTTTTATAGATGGAAGTGGTGTGTTATGGCCAGTGCTATTTTATACGCAAGTGGATGCTCATGTTACCTAAAGAAAGAGCCGAGAAAGCTTTTCCTTGCCATTTTCCCAGACTGTTTCTTATTATACTGATAAGAGGTATCCCCAAAATGGGCCAAAAAAGATGTAATACACTTTAATTTCTTCTTTTCTCTTCTGCATTATCAGGAAACGGCTTTCAGTACCCACACCTAAATTTAAAGAGAACGCAGAACACTATCCTCCCTTTTGTCTTTTGAAATAAAATGAAGAACATTAAATGGATATTTACTATGAGTAGCTGACTAATACTCTGTGGGTTAAACTGATATTTTCCAGATTTGTCAGCTCTCTTTGAGTATATTCAGTAACCACAAAACCATTTAACAGTGAACTGAAAATATCCCGGAATGGAAAAGTCTTTTTACATATTTATAGAGCTAGAAACTCCATTCTCCCCCCAGTTGAAATATCTCTTTTAAAACATTCCTCTCAGTTGTAATGTGGAAACATGCCCAAGTGACATCATGGTTGGTTTTGTGTGTGTGTGTGTGTGTGTATCTGTGCGTATTCCTGCTGCTGAGAAAATACAGTCCACCATTGTCACTTACCTCTGTTTTCTCTGGGTTGCTCCAATTCCCATAAATTGCAGGGACAAATGCACAGTTACCTCTTTCCTCAGTTTTCCTTTAAGTACAAAGAGCCACACACACAAAAATTGTAACTACTGAAATGCACCATACTACATTTTCAAGATATTATCTGGTAGAAATCTTAGAGAGTCACATTGTCTAGCTAGCAATCTTATTTTTATGGATGCATTAACATAAGTAAAGTTTTTTTTTTTTTTCCAGCACACCAAGGCAACCACATCTTGAAAGCAAATGTAATTTGCTTTAAATGAACCTAGGTAAATAAAAGAAGTAGCGTAAGTTGGCCTTAAGACTGATTTCTTAAAATATTACTCAAATAATGCAAAGGGTACAACATTAGAAAGAACAATGCAAGATGAAACCGGGCTGGTTATAAGGAAAGGCCATCTTTAAGTCCCCATAGACTTCAAATATGCTGAATCACCAACCCCTGAGGATTATTTTCTGTGCTAATCTCTGTCATAAAGATCTGTAGTACATGAGTCATATTCTTTAACATTTTAAAGAGCAAACTTAAAAATTAAGTGTTTTGAAGAGTTTTTTATGTTAGTGTTTCATTTCATGAAAATCATAAAGATATATGTCCTTAGCAGTCTCACATATCAGTCTATATCTGCATAATTCCCTCTGATTTACTGGACTCTTAAAGGATCATTTTATTTCATACTTTAATTATTTAAGAGTCAATAAACTGAGGCAGGGCCAAGATGGCAGAGTAGTCAGATGCTTCCAGTGGACCCTCTTACAACAAAGACCCAAAAAAAACAAGTGATTCGACTATATATGCCAATCTGGGAGCCCTGAACATCAAAGGCAGAGTTGAGGAACTGGGCTTAGTGGCAGTGGGAGGGAGAGATGGTTTGGAAGCAGCAAGGAGTTGCCATACCTGGCCCGGTGAGAGCCTGAGCCCTTCAGACATGATCAGCTCGGGAGTGACTGGTGAGGCAGGCAAGCAGTCGTTCTTGGGAGGCGCGTTTTCCATGCTGGGAGAGACCCAGCACCAGGGAGTCTACACTGCAACCCAGACCAGTGAGGAGCAGCCCTCCATGAAAGATAAGTACTTGCATACAGCTTACCACACAGATCAAAAACATCCCCTTTAGGGAAAAACCTTCCTCCCATTTACCTCCCTGCTCCCTGCTCTGTACTGGGTCCTGGACCAGCTTCAGCAATTGCCAAGCCCCCTGGGCTGGAAGTAGGATCCATCACACACCTGGAGCCTTTCTCCCTGCCTTGGAGAGTGAACAAATTAACAAACAGGGGAAAAAATAAACTGCCGGGTCACCTATGTCAGGAACCCAGGGTTGGCACAGCTCCTTAGCCTAGGCACAGGCATAAGGGACCCACAGAGTGTGAGTGCCTTTCCCCCTGCATAGACTTGTGTGGGCCCATCTCAACAACATAGGCCCTCATTACCGCAGGACAACAGGGTAAGATGTAATCTGGCAGGTCCTTGACATTTGACACTGCTCTGCCCCTTTAAGCAGGGTCTTCACGTATCCACATCAGGGGCCTAAGGACTGATGGCTCCAACCACACCACCTAGCCACCTGCAAGAGAGGCCCATGAGTAAGATGTGCCCACCAGTCCTCACAGCCAGCAGAATTTGGTGCTCATAGTCAGGCTGCAAAACCCACCCACCTACGTGCTCTAGGGAACTGGGACACGCCTTCCTCCTGGACACTCGGGGGCGGCCATAAGGCCCCTGCCTTGCTCAGAGTGTGTCCTCAAGCAGCAGCTATATACCTGTGCCTAACCAATCATCCATGCCTGTCTAGGACTGTAGGTGAGAGCCTGGACCATACACTTGATGGCTATCTACCTGGGCACCTGAGCTGAACCATACAGGAAGAGTGGGCAGACTCCTGAGTTCACATACCTAGTAACAGATCTAACCACCGGGTGACAGGACATTAGAGCTTCAAAGATGCCAATAATCAAACTAGCTCATATGAGCAGCCTATTTGGCCATACAAAAACAAAACAAGAAGCTAGGGCACAGTAAGCAAACATAAAATAAATAAATATAATAACTTATTGATGGCTTGGACACAATAGTCAGTATCAAATCACGTAAAGAGGCAATTCATGATGGCTTCAGCAAGCTCCCAAAATAAAGAATCTAGAAGTTTTCCTAAGAAGGAAAATTTCTTGGAATTACCAGAGGCAGAATACAAAAGATTAATATACAGAACTCTTCAAGAAATTAGGAAGGAAATTAAGCAAAACACAGAACATGCAATACAGGAAATTAAAAAGATTAGAGAAGAGCATAATGACAAATTTAACAGGATGCAAGAATCCATAGAGAGACAGCAAGCAGAAATCCAGAAGATTAACAATAAATTTTCAGAATTAAACAACTCAATAGAAAGTCATAGGAGCAGAATTGAGGCAATGGAAGTCAGAATTACTGAGATTGAAGATAAAGCACTTGACACCAACTTATTTGAGGAAAAATCAGAGAAAAGGATTTAAAAAAATGAAGAAACACTAAGAATTATGTGAGACCCTATCAAGAGGAATAACCTAAGAGTGATTAGAGTACCTGAACGGGCTGGAAAACAGAAAATACAGAGAGAAATGTTGAAGATTTGTTGGCAGAAAACTTCCCTAATATTGTGAAAGATGAGAAGATATCTATCCAAGATACTTGACGAACCTCACATAAGGTAGATCCCAAAAGAAAGTCACCAAGATATATTATAATCAAACTTGCCAAAACCAAAGATAAAGAGAATTTTAAGAGTGGCTAGGGATAAACGAAAAGTCATCTATGAAGGAGAGTCAATAAGAATAAGTTTGGACTACTCAGCAGAAACCATGAAGGCAAGAAGTTAATGGAATGACATATATAAAGCCTTGAAGGGAAAAAACTGCCAGCCAAGAATCATACATCCAGCAAAACTGTCTCTCAAATATGATGGCCAAATTAGGGTATTTCCAGATAAACAGAAGTTTAGGGAATTTGCAAAAACCAAA